AGACCCCAATTTTTTTAGCAAAATTACATATTTACCCTCTCCTCATTTCTCTTTCCTCTTCGAAATATAGGTGTTCATAGGCCAGATTGAGCCTAACCCGGTTGGCACCATTACATGCCAGACTCGAGCCAAACCCAAGCCTATCCAGACTGACCCGTTTTAGGCTTATTTTAAATTTAAATTTTTAATATAGTAATATCTCAAATCGTTCCAAGCACAGGCCTAAGTCAAGCCCGAGTCTTTGGCCTGGTGCCCAGGTCTACTTTGAAATTTTCTCAAATCTCAAAAATGCTCCCAAATTATGAAAAATTACTTAAGAGCAGTGTTCTTCAGACTACTGACAAATTGCAATGCTAGAACAGGATTATGATGAGTAATACTCACATAAATGTTGATATTGTGATAATTCGTTTGGTTTGTCAGGTTTTCTTAATCTTTTCTTGTTTCTATTAGAACCCTTTGTTTTTGATTAATTAGAACATAACAATTGAAAAAAAGTTAAAAAAAAAATGAAAAGCTTTTAACCAACTCACCAAGCATCGTTGGGAAGCCATTTATGAAATTCTGACTTAAATCCAAAGTCTCCAGGCTTTCAAAAACTGATAGTTCTGCACAGAGAGGTCAGAATGAAAACAAATTTCACTATACATATTGCAAAGCTAATAAAATTCCACCTAGTACGTACCTTGAACAGGGAAAGATCCTTCCAGGAGATTGCTACGAAGAATCAGATTCTTAAGAGATGTGAGTTTCCTTAAAGATTGTAGGGTATTATTTCCTAAATTGTTACAAGTAAGGTCCAATGTCTCCAGCTGCTCTAGTCTCAAGAAACCTTTAGAACCTTCAATAAAGATTATTGGGAAATAATCCAAAAATAATAAGATTAACTCAATGGAAGGGGAACCAAAAATTAAAGATCTTACCAAGAAACCAAAAATTAGAAATTATTATTACAATCAAATTATTCTTTATATACTACAACTCTGTTCCATAGAGCAGAATAAACGAAAGAACAAGTTAAATAAAAAAAAAAAAGCTAAAAACTAACATAAAATTAGAATAAATCTGCACACAGTGAGATTTGAATTTAAAATGAAAAACTTCAGGATGTCTTTATGAAGACAAGGTCTCATCGGCAAAAAGCTAACATACCTTGGTTCTGCATCCAACCGTCGATTTCATTGTAAGATAGGTCGAGAGTTCTTAGCTCATTAAAAGCGTGGAATAAGGAAATTTCCAAAGCACGGTTCTGATTTATCAGGATTCCAAAAAGATGGTCTATAACAATAATTCATAGCATATTGGGTTTCATTATAGAGGGAGAGTCGAATCACGCGTCCTGTGGTGGAGTTGCAGGTGACTCTCTCCCAACCACAGCAGTCACTCTCTAGGTCATCAACCCATGAAGGGAAGATGAGGTCTGAATGATGGCCATGAAATTTATTAGCAAAGGACTTCAAATCTAACAGACCAAACCTCTCCTCCTCCAAACAAGCTTTCTGCCCATGAATTTGAGTCAAAAGGATCAAATCTAGCAAAACGAACTTCAGAAGTAAACGCATCTTCATTTCGGAATGCTAAAACAATGGTGATCAAATCTAGCAAAAAGTTGTTATATAATACAAGACAGGAGTAGCTAATTTTAAGAAATATGGAGAAAGGAGAACTTGACCAAAGTAACGTACGTAAGTAACACTCGAGGAATGAAGTTTGAAAGCAATGCGTAATTTTGGGGGAAAATGTCATGCATGCGATGATCACGAATAGGACGTCGTCGGAAGCGCAAGAGGTTGTTTTGTAATTGTTAAGTAGAATTTGGCTATTTCGGTCAATTTAAGGTTTTGTTCAAAACTTTATATCAAAGGAAGTTTCCTTAGCCACGTTCAAGTCAATTCTACTTACAATCTGTGGGGTCAAGTCAGGAGTCACATTTTCTTTGCATTGAGAAATTGGTTGCGACAAGAATGTTTGGAGGTGGGCCTATTTTGTTAGAAAAATATTCCACCCTCTCTTTTATTGGAGAAGCTTATCTTATAAATTTTCTTTTGTGCACTCAGTGATTTTTTCACTTTTATTGTTTTAAAGTAGCTATTAGAGTCTTCCTTAAAATGATCTTTCGTTCTTGTTGTTACGGAGCGACTACTCGAGTCTTTCACAAAGTATTACACGTATTACACATTCCAATCCTCTTACCTTAAAACAAGAGAAAACAGTTTTTGATTTTTTTTTACTTACAGAATAATTCGTGTTCACTTTTGGTTGTGTGAAAAAATTAATACATCTGTTTACTATTTATAGACGTATTAGGGATATAGAGATAGGAAATTAATTTTAAATTTAAAATAAATTAAATTTAAATATAATTAAAACAAATTTAAATTTAAGAGGAAATTTTGAGAATAACCCTCCTCAAAAGGTGATTTTAGAAATAACCACCCATATAAAGTTATTTATTTTTATCCAAAAATAAGCATGAGTAGACCAAAATGCCCTTAAAAACATCTTGGCAAATTAAGCTCACCATATCTCCCTCTCGCCATAGAGAAAATAGAAATAAATATTTAGCTATTTCAGCTCGCTCATGTCTCTCTCTCAACTCTCTAATTGTATAAACTTATCAACTTTTTGTTGAGCACCATCATCATCCGCTTTCTCAACTCTTTGAACTGTATAAGTTCTGTCAACTCTCTGTTGAGCACCATCGTCATTGTGCTACGGTCTATCTCTTGGCATCTGAGCATATTGTCGTCGATAAATAGACCTTATAGTAGAGATGACATCAAGATATGTTATTAGGTTTATTGCTACAACACATTAATTTATGAAACTTTTTGTGTAAATTAAAACATCGATTAGAAACATTGCCTAGAGTTGTTACACGCCATGCATCTATAATGCACATGGCATGTAAAAAATACATTTACATAACATGTGTTAGCACATGGCGTGTAACATTTTTATTGAACATGATGTGTAACATGTTGTGAA